TTCTTGCCAAGTTAAACTTCTCATTGCCCCAAGCTGGCAAGAAGCTTTTGGTGAACAGCTTCATCTCACATCCTGCGTGGTACCCAGGGCCTACTCTGGAGAAGATGCTCAAAGAATGTTTGTTCAGTGAATGGGCACATCCATCACTGGACACACACTAATGAATCAGTGTTCATACATAACAAGCTAACACCTCAACAGGCAATGTTTTAAATATATTCCTTCGTTAATAAAAATGCAAATCAAAGATACCACCTCATCACGTGTATTCAAAAGGCTATAAGCTAAACTTAATAAGTATTGGTGAGGATGTGGAGAAACTGAAGCCTTTATGTGTTACTGATGGTAACTTAAAGGTGTTCAACATCATAGAAACAGGTTGGTAATGTCTCAGGCAGATAAACAGACAATTACTATATGCTCAACAATTCCATTCCTGTGTGGAACAAACCCAAGCTAATTAAAAGTAAGGACCCTAACACATCCACACATTCATGGCAGCTCCATTTGCAAAGAAAGGTACAGGCAAAAGCAATCAAATACCCATTGTCAGATGAGCAACCTGTGATGTATGCATACAGAGTAGTAACTGCAGACTGAAAGGAAGTACTGGTGGATGCTATCCCGGATGAACTGAAAACATACTAGGTAGGAAATACTCTAGACACAAAAGTTACAGAGTACAGGTCCCAGTAGTATGCAAAGTTCTGAATAAGCAAACCCTTAGAGACAGAAAGCAGACTTGTAGTTACCGGAGGCTTCCGGATGGAGGGAGGAGGAGCTTCATGGAAACTCTTTCTTTCTGAGGCATAGAAATAGAAATACAAAACAATGGCATGTGTGAAAGCCAGAAACACTGTGCGTCCCTCAGTGGGGGAAGAACTGATTCGAGAAGCAGCTAAGCAGAGTCATGGTGGCCGTGTGACATGGCAAGGCTGGAGATTTACATTCCACCCTTGAAGAGGAACTGGGGAGCAATACCCACGGACAGCATGGGAAAGCCTCACTGGTGATGACCACTTGGGTTTACAAAGGTGAAAAGACCAGCTGGTACCACCGCAGAGGCCAACATAGAAGTCAGTGCCCAGTACCACTGCAGAGGCCAGCATAGAAGTCAGCATCCAGTACGACTGCAGATTAGTGTAGAAGTCAGCATCCAGTACCACTGCAGAGGCCAACGTAGAAGTCAGCATCCAGGCTGAATCTGAAAAATATGAAGCACAGATGAGGAAGTTTCTGGTTTGCAGCAGGTGGTTTGTGCATCAGGGAGAAGATCAAAGTGCACTGAGCAAACACCAAGCAGGACCAGGGATCCGGCAAAGGCGTCTGGCTCCTGCCAAGGCTCCAGGATGCAAGATAAAGGACAAATAGCTTTGCAGATTCCTAGCTTTCTTGACCTTTCCCTTCACCTCCTACCTGCAAGGCCACAGACAAAAAATCTTAGAATAACCTTAAGGGAACCTTAGCTGGAGGTTACAAAGAGGGCTGTTATATTCAGATTTTAATTGCCCTCTTTGTTCACATTGTCATTAAATAATTGATTCCATTATTTGCCATTGATTTAAACAAATATTTGCTTGGTTCAATTTACCAGGCACTGCTAAGAGCTCTGGGGGACTTAAAGATGGTGCCTTAGAGTTTCTATTGCTGTGACCCAAAGCAACGTGAGAAAGAAAGGGTTTATTTTGCTTCCTCTTCCACATCACAGTCCATCACTGAAAGAAACCAGGACAAACAGGACACGAATCTGCCCACGCAGAGGCCATGGAGGAGCATGGAGGAGTTCTGCTTCCTGACTTGCTGTCCAGGTTTTGTTCAGTCTACTTTCTTAGCCCATTCAACCTGCCCAGAAGCGGCACTGCCCACAATGGGTTGGGCCCTCCCACAGTCTCTAATAATAAAATGCTCCATGATTTGCCCCCAGGCCAGTCTTATGGGTTGTTTTCTCAGTTGAGATACCTCTTCTCAATATCTCTAGCTTATGCCACATTAAAATCAAAACAAAACAAAACTAACCAGGACAGATGGTTAATACATCTTACATAAAATCCATTTATTCAACCATGTAGCATATGGTTTTCCAAATACTTCCTCTGGGGCAGACTCTAAATATTTGATGCAGAGTTTACACCAGAAAACAAGATTCCAAACTTTATGGAGTTGGCAGTGACACAGGTGTACCATTTAATGGCCTGGTTACGTAACTATACAAACAAGTCTCGATGGGAACATACCCAAAAGGGTTGCAGGCAGGGAATTATGTTTACAAAGAAGATATTTGCCTGGGAATGAGGGAAGGCTGGGGGAAAGGATACTGTTCAAAATTGGCTTGAAGAAGGCAGAGAAGGAAGAAATCGGTGTTTCCAGTCACAAGGACTAGCCAGGAAAGCCAGGGGTGCACATGAGGAAGGCAGAGAGCCAGATGTGTTTAGTATATGCAATTGACTCGAGAGAGGCTGAAGACAAGCGGTAAATGTGGCAGGCTTTCTTTTGGGCCTGCAACCAGCCCCCAAATTATGACACGGAGACTTTACTATTAGCTAAGAATGTTTGGCCTTAGTTTATGGTTGTCCCACTAGCTCTTATAACTTTGTCACCCTCTACGTTTTGCTTCGGGGCTTTTTATCTTTCTTTCATTCTGTGTGTCCTGCTTTCCTGCTTCCTCTGTGTCTGGCTGCCTGGTAACTGCCTGGCTGGCAGCCCCGGGGCATCTCCCTCTCTTTAGCACCTATTCTCTTCATTCTCTCCAGCCTAGATCCCTCCTCCTCCTTATTCTTTCTGCCCACCAGCTCCACCTATCCCTCTACTGCCTAGGTATTGGCTGTTCAGCTTTTTATTAGACCGATCAGGTACCTTAGGCAGGCAAGGCCGCAGGTCTTTACATTGTTGAACAAATGCAGCATAAACAAATGTAACACATCTTTACATAGTTAAACAAATCCAGCATCAGCAAATGTACCATGTCATTGCCTAGTTAAACAAATATTCCACAGCAGATAAAGGCTCGCAGCAGCCAGATCATTCTGAGGACTGAGAAGAGCTTGAGGAAGTCAGGAGATCGTATGTAAATTCACAAAGAGGTACTTTCTAAACTTTATCTTGGCAAACATCATTGCTCAGTAAGAGTCCGTGATTCAAAGGATTGGCTACTCCTCCTGACATGTGGCCACTGGCCTTTGCAGGGCTGAATGTGGCTAGATCATTGTTTAAGGATGAGCTGAAATGCCAATATTTAACCAGCAGTCAAACTCTTAAATTGATTGCATTCGTGTGCAGTATTTTTATTGTGAAGACATCCCCATCTTGTTCCATCAGTCAGCATGGACTCCAACCAGTTAGGGAGTGAAATCCCAGAAGTTGGTCTCATTGAACATTTGAGGAGAAAGTTGAATGACTGCCAGACACGCCCCCACCCCCATACCTAGAGCTGTTCTCATGACGGACGCTGGAGAAGGTCATGAGTTGCCGCCTCTACATGGTTTTCTGATTCCGAGGCCCTTTCTCCACATCTCATTATGGACTATAGTCTCTTTTTGTCTGGAGCCCTGTCTAGGTGTCCTCTCAGATCTTTCTAGAATGAAACTTCATTTGGGATCATCTACCAATCCTCCCTCCAGGACATAGCTGCCTACAGTTTGGTTTCTTTGCTCTTTGCACCTGGACTTAGCATCATGGAGGAGGAGGTACCTAGCTGTCCATTGAATGGCTTCTGGTTTCCATTTTCAGGAAGAGAAGTTCCAACAAATTTAGTTGTTCACGCAAAACTCTAAAAGCAGAAGACCTGGGGTGGTGATGCAGAGGTGGAACCGCTGCCCTCTCCAATCTGCAGCCTGATGGAAATGAACTCCAAAGGGCCACGCAGTTGGAAAGAAACACATACAGTTTGAGCCTTTGAAGTCCAGAGATCCGAACTCAAGTTTTAACTTGTGCAGTCGTCGATCTGGCCAGTGCAGAGGCCGGAGTTGAACTTGGTTGGCAAAGTTAATCTGTCTTCGTTTACAAAATGGCTAACAGTGCTGTTGCTCCTGACCCATGTGGTTGGCAACAGGAAACTGAAATTGTGACTGAGACGCAGATTTGTCAGTTCTATAGCACTTATGGACACGTGTGATTTATGGCCTTTTAATCGTCTTTAATCCATTTTACTGACTCAGTGGTGGCAACTATGTGTGCTATGTTTTGAAATGTTGAGAATACTGGAGCTAGGATTACGGCATTATCTCAGCCCTGAGCCCAACCAGGACTGCGTTGCCTGCCCCTCCTCTGAGTATGCAGGAGCCTAGGGTCAACTGTGCAACTCTCCTCTCAGAAGAAATGTCTGACTCGTTCTGGCCTTAGGAGGTTTTAATTGCATCCAGATGTCTGGGGCACCACTTGTCAGAGCCTGAGAGAACACGATGCAAGAACACACCTGACTCCGTGTTACTGCCTAAGGTCGGCACTCCTCATGCCTCAGTGGTTCTGGGGCTGGCCGGAGGGTTTGGGTGTTTTGTTCTCATGGAGAAAAGTACTCTGACGTGAAGGGAAGAGACATAAAAGCCATGCAGAGGGACTGACCTTCTTTGGAACCTGAGTTAATCTGCCAGAGCGGGTGCTGAAGCGATGGGCAGAGGTCAGCTTGGTGGAGACAGCACAGAGCAGGACAAGCTGCAGTCTGGGTTTAATGAAGGGACCAAACTGCTCGTCAACCGATCCAACCCTTGATGTTCAGTTTTTCTCTTGGGGTTTTATGAGGTTTCTTCTAAACCTCCCTCACTGTTAGGGGAAAATACTTTCCAGAAATCAAGACGTAAAAGCAGTGAGCATCTTGGTTCTGTATTGGGAGCATTTTCCTGAGAAGTCCTCACATAGTGCCTAAGGTCACCAGTGCACCAGCCACAAAGGCCTGTTCTTATCTGGTGTTTGTCTTGGAACCTGTAGGGCCATTGGGAGAAAGGAAAACACTCAGATGTAGAAAGAGAAACAATAACTCTAATCACATAACCGGCTTTCCCCCAATGGTCCCTTATCACCGGAGAGCTGGGAGATTGAGAGTTATATAAACTGGACTCGGGGAGTCAATGGGTCATAGAAATCATATTATGCATGCCGTTGCACAAAGCCCAAGAGAGACAACATGAAATGCCTTGTGAGTACATTTTTAATTCTGAATGTGTTGAAACAGCCACGGAGGTCCGCTTTCTCCCTTCCCCAAGAACTCTTCCAATCCCTGCTATGATTTGGCGTGTAATCTTCTGCTGGTCATTGTCTGGCGTGTAATCTTCCGCCGGTAATTGCCTATTTGCAGAATTTGAGTGAATGGCGTTTTCTGCCAGAATCAATAACTAACTTCTTTAAAGCCCAGACTCTTTGGGGGTGAGAGTCCTGTCTTCAGTGGTGTTTCTTAGTTACAAATCGCCGGTGGGAAAAATGACAGATATATGTGGTGTCAGCTGGAATAGTGTGTTTTTGTTCCTTTGGATGTTTTTTTGAGAAAAGGCCTCATTCTGTAGTCCAGGCTATCATGTACTTACTCCCCGCGACTAGCCTCCAACTTTCAAAATCCTTCGTCTTGGCCTCCCAGGTGCTGGCATTAAAGGCGGGCACGACCGCGTCAGCTTTCAATTGTCTAAGTAAAGTGGCCTTGCCCGCGGCAGCTCCCGGGTCTTGCGGCAGCTCCCATGGCACTGTGGTAATAGTGATGTTGTAGAGCAGCCGTTTCCTTTGCCTTTGAGGTGCAGCTTGCCCATTATTATTGAAACTGAATGTAGACTTCACACGGGTGTGCAGAGAAGGGAAGATCTTCCTATCTTCTTATCAGTTCCACTTGATACGATGGGTGCACTTGAGCGGGGCCAGCCTCAAGTCCATGATAGACTAGGGCTAGCTTAGCTTAGTCACCCAATTCCTTCATTAATGTCTGATACAGAGAAGTCCCTCCATCAGCAGGGCACGGCACACAGCGGAGGTAAGCCACCGAAATATTTTAAGGCCCCGGTACATTCTAACATAATTGCCCACCCACAATAGTGTGAGTAGCTTTTCTTCTTAGACAAGGTAAAAGAATCTGGAGGAAAGGAAACCTGGAGGGAGTTAGACTCCAGAGGGGTGGAGGATGGGCGTGGGATGGAGCAAGGCCAACTGTGAGCTTTAGGGTTTGGGTGAAGAACCGGAGCAGAGGTTGTGCCAGCCACAGAAGCAGGGAGGATGGAAGAGTGGGAGCCTGAGCTATTGTGGACCAGGCTGGCCCTGCCCTGTGAGCCAATCAGAGCCTATAAGGTTAGCTAAATCTATTCCAGCAGTTGATGGTGAAAGCCACACAGGACGTGTCCTCAGTGGCTGATGCAGCTCTGCTTCCTGAGCAGTGGGCACACCCTGTCTGAGGATGGTAGACTGTGGTCTCCTGACACACTTGGGGCCCCATAGGGATGAACGAAGGCCAGAGTTATAGACCTTCATTGAAAGGCTCTGTCCTGTAAGGCAGAGTCTGGAGTCTAAGCTCTCCCGAGGCTAAGGACAAGGAGCTTTGACCTTTGTTCCATTTCAGATTGCACCTTCCTTTCTTGTGACCATCTTCCTAGTCCCATCTCTGGCCCTGGTGGTGAGTATGGTGGAGAGGGCCCAGTCTGCCTAACCCTCTGTTAGCACAGGCATTTCAAAGCTAACTACCAAGGGTGGCATTCCCATAATTTCTCGTGGATTCCCTTTAATCCTGACAGGGATAGACAGACGGACACTTGGAGCCAGTGACTTTTCTCACTGCTCATCGGTCTTTTCTAGAACACCAGTGACAGTCATTCTCTGGATGGCTCTGTGGGGACCCAGACCGTTCATGTCGATGCCCTCCGAGGTCGGGTCAGCCTCCAAGACAACAATGTTCTGAGCGAATGGAATGGAATCGTGGACTACAAGAATGTAAGATGCCAAACACGCTTATCGCAATGCCAAGGGACTCGTGAGTGGTCCAAGCAGACCAGACTGCTTTTCCATCTTCGTTGTCTTCCTCCGAGACTGGGGTGTGCTACCGAAGCTGTTTTGTCTTAGCTCTGTGTTGTGATGCTGAGATCTAAGGGAATGGTGCTATGAACTAGCATCTCTTTCGGTAGTAAGACCAATCAGAATGGCACATGATCAGGAGGAGAACCCTGTTGCTTTGGCAGAACTCTAATAAAATGTTCTGTGACCATAGATAAACCTTTCTGTCTGCCATGCCCCAGTGTCCCCATCAGCAAAGTAGCTCCAACAGCAGCCTCTCCCACCTAGTGGGACCTGGAAGGATGGAATGAAGTCAACACCCACACTTTAACTCTGCCCTCTGCTACCCTGGCCCTCCTCAGCCAGCTGTCACATTCTTGTCGTGTTCTCTTCCTTGAATACCTTCTCTCTTTTCACCTTCCCACTTTTAAATCCTCAAGGAGATCCCCTGAATCTTCCCAGAAGGCTCCCAGGCTACAGACTGATTGCCTTTGATGGATGATATTAAAACCCAAGTAAAAATTTCCTCACGCAGCATTCTACCATAGGCCGCTAGGTGGCGCGAGGAAGGCAGAACTATTGCTAGAGGCTTAGCTTCTTGCAGTTGAGCCTGGGGTAGAAAAGGGCACCTCTGATCTAAGCCAGGAAAGAAAAATAGCAGGCCATAAGAAAGGGGAATCCAAGACAGACCTAGCTCTAGAATTCAAGCCGTAGTCATGATGCAGGCCTTCTGACTGCCCTGGGTTTTCAGAGAGCCCTCTCCAGTTTACATAACATTCTCCCAGGTAGTGGGGATCTCAGCTCTCCCCTCAACTTCATGGCAACTCCATGGAAGAAAGGCCATTCCTCTTGCTTTACAGATAGAGAAACTGAGGCTCAGGGAGGCCACAGAGGATCCCAAGAACTGTTGAGCAGCCAGCCAGGCCCTTAAGATCACCTGTATTGTTTGTTATATTACCATCCTGCCCAGTCAGGCGCACACATCCTTATGTTAGCATCAGAACACCCTGGGAGAGAAAGCCTTCACCATCAGGAGCAGAGGAGATGGCAGCACTGGGCCTAGGGAGCGGCAGGGCTCAGTACCACACCGCTCCTGATGCAGTCGTGTGCCCTGGCTTCCAGCAGCACTGCTGACATGCTCTGCATTGCAGTCAGACTAACAGGGTCTGGATGCCTGAGGGGAGCAGGTGAGTTAGTACTGGGACTGATTGAATGCCATGTTTCTGTTCTGTTGCTTTAAGGCCCTCCTGGCAGCTAAGCTGTTTAGTAAGATGGCCTGTGTCCTGGCCAAGATGGACCTAACAGTCTTCCCAAGTTTGGATGATATTACCCAGGCCCTGGGCAAACAGGTGAGTCCAGTTCTCTCTGATAGACGTCGACTATGGGGTTTTCCAACTTACAGCCAGTCTTCTGGACAGTGCTCACTCATGGGAGCTTCCTCTGTACCTGTTCTTCACGCCAAGAAATCACATCATGGGCAAAGAACTTGAAGACATCAGCCGCCCTCTCAAGGCGAGTCACAGTTGAATCAGTGACCTCATTTAGATGCATTCCCAAGGGGCTCGAGCTGTGCTAGAGAAGACAAGTGGTCGGATGCAAGCATTGCAGTGATTTCATGTTCCCTGCCTCCTCTCCTTCCTGTCATTCCTGACCCACCACACACACACACACACACACACACACACACACACGCACACGCACACGCACACACGCACATGCACACACACACATGCACAGACGCACACACGTGTACACACATGCACACACGTGTGCACACACAAATGCACAAACATGCTCGTACACACCGTTATCATTGTCATCACCAACATCTTTAATTGCAGTCACGCACAAGAGTGCTGAAATTCTTGCCTTCTCTCTCAAGCGAGACGGGAATTGTTGTTAATAGGAAGAAATTAAAACCCAGGAAGAAATCCTTGGCAACTCATGGACTCTGCTCAAACTTTGTTTAAATATCAACACGTTTGAAGAGTACTCAGGATTGGGGCAGTGGTACAAACTCTGGGAAAGAAATAAAAGTGTGCTAAAGCAATGCTATTTTTAAAAAGAAGTCGGGGTGGAGAAACGGCTCAGAGGCCAAGAGCGCTTGCGGCTCTTGCAGAGGAACCTGGTTTGGTTTCCAGCCCCAGAAAGGTGACTCACGTCAGACTGTAACTTTAATTAAACACTCATACATGTAAAATTAGAACACATAAATCTATAAAAGAGGAGTTGAAAGTGTCCCGTTCATCTAAATTGACAAAATATAAATGCAACAAACTACTCCATCATTTTGGTTCAGAAAGCATCTAAAGCTGATAGGAAATGCCACTGGGGCACATAGAGATTTTTACCAGAGTCACTTTCGCCCTCTTGTGGCTTGATAAAATATTGCATCTAAAGAAAAGCAAGTCGGCAGTTCTCAGTGGGCACAGTTACCTGAATCGCCCCATGCACCTTCACAACTTGCCTGTGAGTCTCTTCTTTCATATGCCATGCCTGAGACGCCCCTATCTTCCAGGATTCCGGTCACTACCCACCCACCCGCGGACTGACCTACACGGTTTTACCCAGCCGAGTCAAAAACTTGGCCCAATTTGGAGTGCCTGTCCAGGATCTGTGCAGAGCAGTCCCCGCCTACTTTGCCCAGCAGCAAAAGGAAGGTGTGTTCAGAAACCTAAAGAAGGCGGCTTATGAATCAAAAGATGCAGAAGGAGTTTCAGTACCTATCAGCCAACTGTAATGACAGCTGATCCATTGCTTCCGTGGCCTGGGATGTATGTGGGGAGTGTGGGGAAGGGAAACAGCCAATAGCTTCATCAGAAGGCCAAAGCCAGTCCTCTCCTCAGGGATCTGCTGGCTGATGGGCATCCTGCCCTGATTCAAGCTTTGCCATGCCCACTGTAGGGGAAGGCCTGTGGCTTTGGAGTCCTTAGTCCTACTCTTTCTCAAGGCGCGTGGAGCCTAACAGTTATTATAGACCACACTGGAAATAGCACCGCTGATGGCTGGAGTGTGAGGGAGATCAGTGACCCAAAGAGCCTAGCTAGCAGGGGTAAGACTCCAAGATCTGCCTATGAGTCCAGATTCAGTCAGCAACATGGCTGTTACCACTCCCTTATCCACTAGTCAGAGTTCTTCTGAACAGACGGTCCAGGAGAGAAACAGGACATGCCAGGCTAGGGGGTTACAATGCATAATAAAGAAAGATGATTACTAAAGATGCTGGAGAGGAGCCAGGGAGGGCATGCGCTAACCTGAGGATCCATAAAGCAGGTGCCTGGTGTACTGATAACTCTGGCCTTCTCTAAAGTGTGGTTCCCTCCTCTCTTGAAGGTTCCGCCCTGGACATGGACCCAGAATCCTGTTCTGAGCTCCAGTTTCTCTCCTTCATGGGACTGTCTATCTGTGGTGAGATCCCTGGGCTCTGAATAAGCCATATTCAAGCCATATGAAGATTGGACTTGCCTGCTCCAGCCTCTGCCTGTGGGAAGCAGGCCTTTCCAGTCCTCTACCTTCTGGCTTTCCATACAGCGCTAACCCTGTAATCTGGGGGAGGAGGGAGGTGCATTTTCTACCTTCTAGGAAAAAATAATAAAGTTTCCATGTCATTGGCTAGCAGACAGATTCCCTAATCCCCTGCAGGCTCCCTCATCCTCTGCAGGCTCCCTCATCCCCTGCAGCCCCCCTCATCCCTTGTAGGCCCCCTCATCCCCTGCAGGCTCCCTCATCCCCTGAAGGCCCCCTCATTCCCTGCAGGCTCCCTCCTTCCCTGCAGCCTCCCTCATCCCCTGCAGACTCCCTCATCCCCTGCAGCACCACTTATCCTCTCTGCACTGCCAACCACGTGCAGCCCAGAGCATCCTAAAGCATGGAGGTGGCTCCACCAGAACCTTTCATTTCTGAGTCTCTTTAGACTATCCCTTGAGAAGTTTTGAAAATAAATGAACAAACCTCCAATGGCACCCAGTCTGGATGGTCAGGCCTGAGGTTGCACTTGTCTCCTGTAAACTGGGACTGAGGCTCCTGGGACGTCTCTTTCTTGTGACAGTGATAACCCATAGAGTGATCCCGGAGCCTCCCTCTAGAACTCTAAGCCAGGAGCAGTGACCCTTAGATATCTGTCCCCATTGCAAATGAATAAGGATAGAGATATTCAGCCCTCAGTCTGTAACTTGTGGTCTCTATCACTAGCCCCTCCTCCCACGTGGTGTCACCTAATTCTCCGCATCACTCCTGCTTCTTGGAACCTTGGGGACAAGGTTTTCAAGTTCCTGTTAGAGTAGGGTTCATATCACAAAGCAGACCGCTGTTGTCCCCAGCAAGGGACCCCACCCCCAGATGTCTATGGCCACAGTCTCCTTAGCTCTGTGGAAAGACCAGAGCCTGTGGCCTCAGGTCCTGACTCCAATACAAGCTGCTCAGGACTGTTGTGGGTGACAGCAATGGCAGCTGGTTTCCTGAGGCTGTTGCAGGCCAATGGTTTCTTTTTCATTCAGCTAAATGATAAATGTTGAAAATGAATCAAGATTTGTATTGAGGCATAAGAAGAGGCACAGACCTTGCTTTCCTAACCTGGCCTCCCTGAGATTGTGACCCCATGACCTCAACATGGCAGAGACAGTTCTGGACATCAGTATTACATTCCCATTAGGAAGGACAGGAAAAAGCACAGAACAGAATTCCAGTCATCTGAATCTATCTTTCTTTATCTGGAAAGAATATGGTTTCTAGAAACCTCACTTAGCAGACTTCTGCCTACATTTATTGGTCAGAGCCTTGGTCACCTGACCACTCTAGGCCAATCTGCTTCTTGCTTTCTTAAGAGAAAATACAATCTTGTTTTCTTAGGAGAAACAGGACTGGCTTTCTCCACGTGGGCACTACTAACATTTTGAGCTAAAAAGTCCTTCACTGTGGGGCACACTGTGGGGCAGCAGAGTGTTGAGTACCATCTGTCCTTGCTGGAGGCCGGAAGAACCCTCTCTGACTGTGACAATGATGGCGGTTCATCTCCTGGGGACAGGAGAGAAGTCATATATAGTTGAAAACTAAGTTGACAGTTCACGGTTAACTCCCTACAATTGAAGGAATACGCAGAAGGAATGTTCAGCCTCTACTCACATAGCTTGGATTGTGCTAACTGGAAAGAAAGGGCTGGGGAAAGACATGGACTGGCAGTGAGCTACATGAGGAACAGTAGACAGCTGTGATCGGCAGCAGATGAGCGACCCTTTCTCTTGGTTTTCTCTGCAAGGATCACCCCCGTGTCCTTAGAAATCATTTTTTTCATATTTTGTTAGGTGCATAGCTGTAGTAGTAGGATAGCTGAACTGGTCTAAGTTATTTTTCCATTATTAGAAACCAGGAGACTCAATATTGACTTTTAGCTCATTCATTATGTTTGCCCCAATACTGCTGAATTCATTCATCAAGCCTAACAGGTAATCCTGCAATGCAATATTGGGATCTACATCTTCTAATACCAGCATCTAAGATATTAGAATGCATTTCATCCCCTGAGATGAGCAAACGAATGTGTAGGGTGCGGTGCTGGAGGAGGAACTCGTAGGAAGTAGCAGTCCCATCCAGCACTCCACCTGATCTGGGGCCTCTTCCAGCTTTCGTGACCATTGGTGCGGGCTCGATCCTCTTTGCTCACAGTCCAAGGAGGGCTTGAGCACTCCGGAGTTTAAAATATCTACTTTCCTTAACCCTTAGAAGGGACTAACTATGAGAAACTGTAGCAGGACCCAGGCACCTTAGGAGGGAGGGGGAATTTAGAAACAGCAAAGTGAGGAAGCAGACCCGAGGCTCTGCTTTCACAGTGAAACCAACACAATTAAAGCAAGAGGAACTGTATGAGCAAACAAACCCCCAAGGAGGTTGGGAATGCTATCGCTCTCCCTGCCTCCAGCTGCCCAGCCTGGCCGTGAGAGCCAACTAGACACTTTAGAGCTAAAACCAACTCATAGCCAGAATAAAGAGATGCTCTGTCTCTCTGGCGATGAAACAGAGATGGGGATCCTGTGGTGGGCCATGGTGTTGGTTCTCTCTTCTTACTCAGAAAAGCCATGAAGATGCCGAGGCTGCCGCAGGAAGAACGCAGCTGAGAGGCAGGAGAATAATCTAGTCCCTATCAAGCACCCAACTCCAGGACACTCCTCCTCTTCAGACACTAGCTACATAAGACTCAGCTTACCCTCAACTGCAACAAATCTGGTTTGGCTTCCATCCCCTGCAAACACCTGAAACACTCTGTCCTTTGCTTGGCAGTCAGTAATACTCAATACCACTGTCATCAAACTCTTTATAGAAATGCCCCATTTCCCCACCAAGGAAACAGCGTCCCTGAGCTCAAGGGATATGTGGCTTGTGTTTCTTATCCCATCATCCCTGGTGCCCAGTACACAGAAGGCACTTCTGATTTATCTGTCCGTGGACCAGTGTGAGACAGGAAGACACAGTGATAGAGAGGGATTTTTGTTGAAGTCTCTCCTGGTTCTGAGCTTGCATCCAGCTGCCCAGACTCCATGACACCTCCATGAGATCACAGGTGGGCAGCTGGGCTGCAGGCAGCTGCAGAGGGAGATGGAGGCTCATACCCTACTGGTAGACTGCGCATGGCTCAACCCCAGCATCTGGACATTTTCATACATGGTATACCTTATTTAAAGCCCTTCTTTATATTAAGGTCAACAGTGCTTGGTTCCCCACTGTGCCCGTGAAAGGAACAAACACACAGATGTCTGTAAATGTATCATTTATATGTCGTTATTGAATCTCATAAGCAGATGGAATGCTGGGAAGAATCTAGTTTGGCTTCTGAGTGGAAACCAAAGGTGTATTTCTTTGGAAAGATGAAGTCAACTGAGGGACCACCTTAGATGTGAGTTCCCGCGCAGATGGAGAAGCCCAGGAACCCCAGGAGGCCAACTTTAGCACAGGCTCCAGTGGCTACCTCTTCTGAAAATGGGAAAATGTAAAGAAATGGCATTAAAAATGTGCTTCAAAGCAGCAAGACAGTGTTTTCAAGGCGTCTGGAAGGGTAGGGACTTGTAATTTCACAGCATCACTATTTTAGCAATAGCTATTGATATTACTACTACTACTACTACTACTGATGATGATGATGATGATGATGATGATGATGATGATGATGATGATGATGATAAATTAACCTACATAAGACTAACAAGTCTACTGGATCTCGGTGGATGCCGTGCGTCTCCGCACTAACAACATGCCCTCCTGCCTCTCTAACACCTATGAACGCTGTCTTCTGAGCATAACGCACAGCAAATGCTAACACTGTTTTCTTCACCTCCCACTGCTCTGACAAATGTCTTTCGTTGAGTTCATTGTCCATGACTCTGGCCACTTTGCCACAATCACTGCAAAATTCAGATAAGCTCACAGTGCCCTGTGACCCCCGGCTGCTGTCCCCTGCCTGTCTGCTCACTCTGTCTTCGCTTCCCTGAGCCCCTCAGGCCAGATCCTGGCACCCCTCCTAAACACCTCTACAGAGTCCTACTTGAAAGGTGCTCCGGAAGTGCTTATCTCCCTGGAGCGCTTACACGTGAACCGGCGCCGGGTTTTCCTTGAGGAGCCCTCCCTATTCCATCTGTCATTTTCACACATTCCCTTTTCATGGCACTGAGCCCCCCCCGCCCCGGGAGGCAGAGTTTGCCTCTGCACTCCTGACATCTCTAACAGTTAGTTCACATAGTAGGACTTCAATTCCTAAAGTAAACTGAACTAAGTTACGTTTTCACTTAGGCGTACTGTATTTCACACAGCCGCGCCACCCCACCTCCCAATGACAGCGTGGTACGCAGCAGCTGCCAGAGCTTGGTTAGCCTCTTTGGTACTCACTGGGTGACTTTGTAACCACCTCCCCCTCATACAGGGGGACGTGTTTGCACAGATTCTCAATAGGCGACCCAAACAGGAGCCAATCCGCCTTCATGAGCAGAGACTTCAAAGGGTTGTACTTGACCCAGGTGTACTCTGTGGAGTCCATGGTTTTCATTGTCTAGGTGACGCAACAGAGAACAGGGTTTACGGAACTGGAAGCCCTCTGGACCTGCCCTTAGCTGTGAATGGCTTTCTCTTGGCAGTGGTTAGATAAAGGGCATTCAGAGACTTCAAGTCATGGTTTCCTGTGACTACTCTGCCTGGAGGAGACGCTCTTTTTTACCCACAGTATTTCACTGTAATAATCCCACAGACGGTAAACCTCCTGAAAGGGGAGAGGCAGATGAGACGGTGTAGTCAGAGCCAAAACTAGGTGTCCAGCCTCACTGCGTTGGGTGGAGAGTCTCACACTGTGGCATTGTTTGTCTGTATCTTTGTATCCTTCAATATCATTTTCAAGCAAACGACATATCTTAGATCTCACCTCCAAGAAGAAAGGTTCACCAGCCCCCACTGCAAAGACTATTCTCATCAGTTTATGTTTTCAGGGCTCCCCCCCATGTGAGAACACATTAGTGAATATCATATACATGGAAATAGTGGTTAGAGTCTACCGTCCCTTTCACATCTCTCTGTGGGCAGCAGCCTGCGCTGGCTCAGGAGCAGACTTTTCAAGGACTCCCCACCTACCTGTGTCTCGTAGATGTACCGTTGGAGTTTGTCCAGAGCCGGGATGGCTTTGTGGTCCATCTTGAGGATGTAGCAGGCTCTTCGGGAGAGCACTCGGGATGCGATGTAACCCTGAAGAGGCAACAGCACAGTTACTGACCCTCAAGGTTCTGGGATCCTGATCGGGTGAGACTGACATTGAATCTCAGAAGAAAGGATTGAGTTAGTCGTGAGTTAATGTCATTTCGAAATTCTGTCCACTCGTCTTTGAGATGGAGTTTTGTTTCCCTACTCGCCTCTGTATGCCTGTGAAGCTGGCATATGCTCTGTGTTCTGGAAGCAAGGTCTACAGCTAAGGGTTTAAAGACTGAGGAGGAATGGCCCTCTGCCTCCTCCTTTGTGTTTTAGCTAGCCTGTTCTTCCATTCTGACTACGACAATATCCGTCTGAACTGTATCATTCCGTACCATAATGGCTCCACCTGTGGCTACTTAAATTCAAATCCGGTGAGATTTACCACTTATTTCACGGTGGATTTTGAGTCCACAGTAGCCACAATGACCAGAGGCTTCCCTTCTGGAAAATTCAAACATAGAACATCTCAACCTGGCTTGACATTCTAGAAGTCTCCTAGGCGTGCTGATGCCTACCCTCACCCCACACAACTTTACCTGTTCTTCCTCCTTTTCCCTCTTCTCCATCCTGTTTCTGCCTCAGACTCTGTCCACCACATGGAGAGGGTGGCCTGAGGAGACTGAGGAGCGCAGGGATGTTGAGAATTTGACATGAGAAGGGACCAAAGGTCATCACATTTTGACCTTGAATGGAAAATTTCTGTGATGCTGCAAATACTTAAAAATTATTCTGCTTCTGATTTTTCAACTCTCAAAAGTTCTTAGTACCTAAAACTTGACAATAGATTGAGGCACTGAGGCTGATGAGAGAGGAAGGGGCTTAAACAAAGTCTCCACAATTCACTTTTTAAAGTCACCTTTGGGATTTCCATGAATCTATTTAAAGATTGTTTTAGCTGCACTTTCTGTTGAGGACTTCAGAGACTCTCCACTCAAAAAGTGACATGAAACTCCCAGCAGTGCCAGGAAGAACGCATCTGGGGAGTTTTGGGAAGAGAAAGGGGAAAAACAAAACAACTTCAGACACCCATTGTTGGTATCCATACTGGGTATCTCTGGGTAAGGCAGCCCATAATAAGTGTTGGAAAAAATAGTAAAGCAATCCATATCAATAAATGGATGGAGGGAGTTTTCAAGACTTGTTACCCTGGTAACCAACACTGGGAAGGCCTTGTAGCAAGTGCCATGTTGTAAGGTCTACAGAAATAATTTAAGTGTGTGCATTGTTCTGGGTTTCTGCCCATTTTCTGTATTTATTGTATTAGAAGTTCTCATTTATTCATCCAAAAGGCATTTTCCTGTTTATGTCCTAAGCATTGCTTTGGCCTTTCTTCCAGCCCGTGTGTGGGCCAGGAGTGGGACAATGCCATCACTGTTGAGGAAATGTAGATTTTTTTTCTTAGAGATGTTTTATTTTCTTTCTTGATCATTTAAAGGGAAAGGAAGACATGAGGAAAATTTTAAGGACATGTAAAGATAGACAGTATAATTAAATATGTACCACATGGCTGACCCCTCCCTCTACAAAACCAGTCTTACAGAAAGTTCCGCTTGCTGCTTACATGCTTATAGTCAAAAATGGTGGTCGAAGAGCAGGACCCCGCATGGATGTTGACGGTGGCAGTGTTCTTCTGGTTGTCGATGCTCACCGTCTCCTGGACGTTGTTGCCATTGGTGCCCGGGGCGATGATGTTAAAAACCTAGAATTGACAACCAAGACAAAATCAGATTTACCTAAATAGTGTGCATTGGGAAGCAGCTCTTTCGCTGGGATAAAACCTTCCCTGTACTTCCACCAGGATAAATCTGCACTGGACAGTCCACCGGAATAAAGCCTTCACTGGACAGTCCACCAGGATAAACCCTTCTCTGAACAGTCCACCAGGTTAAACCTACACTGGACAGTTCACTGGGATAAACCTTCACTGGACAGTTCACCAGGATAAACCTTGCATTGGACAGTTCACTGGAAGTCCATGACATGTTCAGGCTGAGCCTGAATGAGAAACTTTGGCCACTGGTTTGTTACATTATGTACAAGAGGTCCAAAGTGAGTTCTGAAGTAATGTCATCGCAAGGGAAATGGGACTCACCACATTTTAGTATGTTGGGTTACATTGTGGAGGCATTGGAAGCAGAAAGAAACAACCCCTCATCTTTCCCATTCCTGGGATTCCGTCTCAGTGAAGACATGTAGACTACCCGGCCCTTGCACAGCCTGGCCTCTCATCTTCTCCCATAGCTCGAAGAAGCCAACTCACCTCTTCTGCCTGAGACTGAATTCCAAAGATGGACAGCACCACCAGAAATGCCACCTGAAAAACACATCAATTCTCTGTGGGGTTGTCACTCAATGAGGGGATCAGTAGGAGATGGTGGGCACCTAGGGACAAGAGTCATCCCTTAGAGGTGGCCAGCGGTCTGCTTTTCGACTTTCAAAAGTAAAAAACATGCATTTACCCATTCGGCAGGCCCTTGCTGAGTTCATGTTATTTGTTAGGCACATGGTGGGCAAGTGAGCAGAGAAGGACTCTCTTACCAGGGGAAAAGCTGGTGTGAGTCACACCCACTTTAAGATTAGTAGATAAATTATGCCCTCTAAGGGGAAAATGTCAGTTTATTGAGACTGAGGTAATGAACCATTTAAAATGAACATGGTCACAATGGGTTTTTAAGGACAGCTATGGAAGAAGGATTCTAGTTAACCCTTGACCTCATGATCATGATGGATCATCATGGCATCCATCTGCTGCCACAGCCCACATCTCAGGGGTGCTATGAACCTGGGGCCACGGGCCTACACAGATGCAGCTCTGATGCCATGCTGGACTTGTTTCCAAGTCTGACCTGACACCACCAGCAGGTGTCTTCCCTCTTCTGATTATCACGGTGAATTCTACTGCCAATTAAGTTACTAGTGGGTAGGAGGAAGATTGTGGGGAGGACAGACACTTCCAAGAACTGCCTATGGGCTGCTACCCACCCTTCTTTGCAACCCTCTCCTCAGATCTATCTCCTGGGGAGGAGACTCTAGCAATAACCTATGTGCAGACACCCTGCAGTCCACTCTCACGGGGCTCCTCCCTGCCCTGGCCCATCACTCCAGGCAGCTCTGGAGCCTCAGACACTCCTGTATGTTCTATTCAGTGACTCTGGACTAGAAGTTGGGATAAGTGAGTCAACTATCCATCTCGGCGGATGCCTCGCGAGAGCGCAGAATGTGTCCTTGGCCCCCAGATCCCTCCTCCCCACCGAGGTTGACACAGCTTGACTCTAAGTCAAGCTTCAGGCTTAGATCTCCTTCTGGGAGGGGACACTGTCCGTCTGACAGTCCTTGTCCCTTTGGGGCTGATACAGTGTGCAGCTTTCCCTGTTAGCAGCTGAGCGAAAGCAAGAGGCAGAAGCTGGGGGAGGGCTTCCACCCTGAATCCCAACACCCAGGTGGAGCCTGGAGTCCTGTATCAGATGGGGTGGGGGAAGTCACTGAAGGGCTCATTTTACCTTAATAAAGAGTTTAGACACCAGATCACGCTGGTTTCTTTAAATTCACCTAGTTACTACTGCACACGGGGCCCAAGACAGAGAAATCCCATCGTGAACCCCACGTTTACAGATCTGGAGAATTCAGTCCCCTCTGTCTCAGTCTCCTCAGCTTCACAGCGGGGGCAGCAATGCATGCTGTGCACCGTGGGCACAACAAGCAGAGGTGATTGTCCATGAGAAAATCTGGGGCTCAGCACAGTTTGGGGGTAGCTGCTCTCACTCTTATTGCAGACGTTGTTTTTAAAGCACTTCTCTTTTGGATGACAAATGTAACTACTCTCAGATGCCTGCGCCCCTCACAAAGCGATGAGAAGAGATTGCTACTAAACAGCCTCCAAATAAAATCTCCACATATTTACATTTTTTCTTTGTGCATTTTGAGTAAACCCAAGAAATATAGGCAGTGAACACACAAATATTCGACATTATTCCTGGCCCCCAAGCACTGCAAATTCAACCCCAGAGGCATAGAAGGGCACAGTGTTTATCTAAGACCCTTGAAGTCCACAGCACACTGGATACAAGCAGCAGCAGCAGCAGAAGCAGCAGCAGCAGCAAAAGCACAGAGAACACAAACACATACTCACGGGGATTTTCATTTTGCCCAAAGAGAAGGAGCTGGAATGGGTGCAGACGCCTGTGCAGTGTCCAGCCTTTATATCGGCTTGAAGAGGTGAAAACTTTTCTCCTGAGTGGTCATGTCAGAAAAGATCGAGCCCATTATCTCGGTCACACCTTGGCAAACTCCCTAATCAGGATGGAGACCTAACCACATCCCAGGTATCGGCAAAGTTTGTTAATCAGTACTGAAAACTCCCCATTGGTCACTCTGCAAACACGCCGGCCGAGTTTATCTGTCCCAGTTGGGCTCCCACCCTGTAACAACACTGCAGACACTTGCTCTTCCCACATAGACGCCGAAGGGACATACTGGCTCCCTCTCCCGAATGGAAAGCCCTTAAGACTTCGGGGCCCCACTCAGGATCCCTTCACCACTGCCCAGCTTGTTAAATTTGTCCGCCTCAGCATCAGACATGCACACAGAGGTGAGGATAGCGGTTGGGAGCTTGTCTTGGAATATGGAAAGCCTGATGGCTGTCTTTCCTTCCTCTCCAGTCGGTGGCAGTCTGCAGAGATTCATGAGGAACAAGATTTGGGAGTCTACAGGCACTGACCCAATGTTTCAGGTGGAACTTGTCCTGGGCACCACAGACAATGGGGGGCACATCTCCTCTTACCTCTCAGACTTTACAAAGATTGGGAGAGGAAAGCAGAGCTTAGTTTGAGTAATTTTTACTGCTTAGTTTGAGTAAATTTTACAGTTAGAAATTGCTAGTTAGATTTAAGGAGGAGGTAATGAACTTATCAGGCAACAGGGATCTTGTTTTTAACCTGACTGTAAATTGTGAAATACTGATCAAGGAGCTAAAACGAACAACCAATGTTTTAAAGAAGAGAGTTTTTAGAAGCAGACATTTAGGGGTCCCTGGCTCTCCAGAACTCTGCTGCCTTGGCTGCTCAGTGGGAATGAGGCAAAGGGTGTGTCTTTTTTCTGAGGTCACTGTGGCAGAAATGACTACAGGTCTACAGGACATCTGCCAAGGCGTTCCCATCCCTGGCTCCAGTGACATAAAGATGCAAAAAGGCCAGGGTTCTTGACAGGATTGCTTTCAAACATGTGGGTACCTGCTGCCTCGTTTACCCATCCCCATGAGCTCCAAGTCCGTAGGCTTAATGATGATATTGCGATCATTTATGGAACATGTCCTGGTGCTTTCTAAACACTTGGAGCATACTAATTCAGTGGTTGTTACGGTCCTGTTCCCATTTCCCAGCAGAAGAACCAAGATGCAGGGAAGTTAAAGTAACTAACTCCTTGGGACCACATAACTTCCAAAGGCAGAAGCTGAGGCTTGAATGTGGTCTGGCGCCAGAGTCCACTGTCTTAGATGCAAGTTCTCCCAGATTGCATGGGGCAACACAAGTTCTCAGCTTGCTGAAGTGGGCCACGTGCAGGTTTCTGTGCCTAGATTGCTCCCAGCTCAAAGACAGCCTTGGAAATTGTGAAGCTTGGCCACAGCTCCACCGAAAATTTCACTAGGGGAATGTGAAGCTAGCTGCATGGATAAACATCGCTAAGGGCAACCCCCCTGCATATGCCTGCCAGGGTCACAGACACGAGGGGCCTGTGCCGAGCTCAGCCACGCCTGGGGTCTGCTGCAGCCCAGCAGGATTGTTAGTAAGGCAGTGTGGGCGTGGGGACTTCCAAAGCATTCACTTACAGGGCTGTCTGAACTCCCGCAGGCCTTGTTCTTTATAACTTGTGCTTTTAGTCTTGCTTAAAAAATGTTACCCATGTCCTTAATGCATTTTCCTATGTGTTCTTAAAGTCCTGTTTTTCACATTCAATTTTACTATTACTTCTGAGTGTAGTGTGAGGCTCCAATACAGTTTTTTTTTCCACTTAAACATCCAGTAGTTCAAATATCTGTTAATAAATAGTGTAGCTCTTTGCCACTAATTTCTAAAGCCAGGCGGTTTCCATGGAGATAGCCTCCTGCTTGCTGCCTCCATGTTTCATTGGTTCATTTAGTATCCAACAATGATGGCTCCCAGGTCCACACAGATGAGTTCTGAAACCCAGTAGACCAAATCCCCCAAATACTACTACTTCTAAATGTTCCTGTCATTCTGTGAATTTCCTTTCTGTTTTCTCTGTCTTGATTCTTACAGAATTACTGTATTCTTTGTCTGACGTCTTGAGCTGAACATTGCTCTGTACATTGAGCCTCTCTAGCTATTTTAAATGGAAGCATTGAGAAATAATACATTTACCACTAAGTACATTTTATTTTCTTCATGTAACTATTTTACCTTTAAAAAAAGCTCTTAATTCCTGTTGTGATTTTTTCTCTTTAACCCAGTTATTAAGGTATTTTTTTCAATTTCTAACATAAAGGTTTGTTCTCTCTCTCTCCCTCCCCCACTTCTTTACCAAGCATTTATATCGAATGTTCTATACCAGGTTCACAGTGTCTAATGTAAAGGAAGCGTCTTTTTATGTGTATTTTCCTCTTAATTTCTTCAGGCCTTCAGTGTGTGCACCTTGAAGTCACCCTTGACTCTGCTGTTGTTTTTCTCTGTAAAGTGTCTTCCATCCGCATCTCTCCTTCTCATGCAATTCTTGCTCCCCACCCCACACTCCATTGCCGTGACTAAGTCAGAATGCCGGCTCCGGCTTCTGTCGGAAGCAATGTTTGAATCTCCATGACAGGCAGATGAGCCTGTGTTGTATTTGTGTGCTAAGGGGCACAGATGATTTATGTGGTGGGCAGTTCTCCTCAAAATGGTGATCTGTAGCTTTCAGCTTCCTCTTTATGAGGCTTCAGTATGTGGACGTGTGGCCATCCTGGCACCGTTTGCGTATGGAGAAAACACACCTGCTCTGAACTTCTTCGAGCTGGCAGCAAGCACCCATGCTCACGGCTCTCGGGGAAGAGCAGCCACACGGCCCTGTCTAGATGGGAGGGAGTGGGTTGCCCATCACCCCAGCATCAGCATCACTGTGGGTCTAGGCTCTGGAAACATTGCCTTGCGTACATTTTTCTCTTTGTTCAGACTTAAAAAAAAATCTCCATCAAGTATATAATCAAGTTGAGAACTCTGAGTTTGGCATTCAATTCGCTCTATAGTCTTCTTCCAAAGGAATTTTGAAAGTGAGATGAGGGAATTGATACAGATCTTAATTGGACCTCAAAAGTCAGGTGTGAGG